TTTGTAGAAAAATGTAACCTTCCAGGCAGTTCTACAGTTTTCTGTACCCTCTTGTACCTTCAGTTGGCCTGCAGTACACAAAATCCTGTTGCAGAGGTAAAATTTGGGACTTCTTGGTAGCAACTTGCTATAGAATTCTGCAATTTCAAAAATTTAAAGTTTGATTTTCCATGTACTGTACGTGTGTTTGACGAAGTACTGATCTTTATGTACAAAGTTCTACCTTTATGTGCAGAAGATGTACAAATCCAAATCACACGTAGAAATCTTTAATTACGCATGCAACTTATGGGACATGCTGAAATACACGTGGGTTGTGATATTTCTTGAGAAATGGGACTACTTTTTTCTCTTATTAACTGATACTGCGGCTGGCACAATGCCCTGTGAATCACTGATTCCACTATAAAAGCATATGGTCCACACCATATTTTAAGACATGTTAAAGAACATCAGCGCTCAAGTCTGGGAATAAGAATTGGCTGAGTCCATGTTTTTGTCCACTTGCATGAATATGCTGTCCCTTTCCTTGTCGTGATCCATGTAGCTTGCCTTTATTTTCTGGTTTCTTGCCTCAGATGAAGACAGAGACACAGAAATTCAAGTTCTGATTATGGAAAAAAAAAGCTGTGCAGGCAGGATAATCTGTTATTTCCTCAGATTCTGTGGTGGGTGCATTAGCACAGAAAGGATCTCTTAGCCTGATAATTCCTTTAGACTTGTTCTGAAAACTTGTATTCCTCGGAGCTGTTGGATCTCCAGGGACTTCATCCAGAGTAGCAAACCATTCCATTCCTTCTGAGTGCTTGGACCCAGTGAGAAAGCCAACTGCTAAATCTAATAATTTGAAAATAATAGCACTCTATATTGCTAAACAAACAGATGCTTCAAGGGAGCTTTGTCAAACATGTTGCACAGGTCAGGCAGTAGTCTACCTGCATTCCCAGAGTAAAATTCACATATCAAAAGCTTCTGGACAATTTAAAGGAGGTTTAAAAAGTATAGAGAATATGAATAAAGGGCAGACGCTCATTCTTATCCTCACAGACTGTTTTTACATCACTGAACATTGCTGTCTAAAAGATAAATTGCCCAAAGTGGTTTCAGAGTGCAAACTATTCATTGAAAAGTGATTTAAAATTGGTTTTCAGTTGCTGTATACCTTGTTTGTAGAGTCCCACAAAAAAAAAAAAAATAAAAAGAGGAATAAGCAGTTATACGTAATTATAAGATGAGCAGTCTGGCGACATGCATTCAAGTGACTTTTTGGTAGAGAGGAGATGTAGCTCCTTCCTTGGAACTAGGCTGCAGCTGAACATGAAACTCCCAGGAAATGAGAGTCTAGCACAGATCTCATGATCTGACAGTCTAGAACCCTTGTTTTGGTTTCTGGTTTGGTAGTTTTTTTTTTTTTAACTTGGCTTTTCACTCAAGTAACAATATAAAATGCTTCCATGGATCAAACCATAATAAAAGCTGGAGTCTTCGCCCTCTCAAGCTAAAACACTTCACAGAGCGCAGTCCTCTCCCTGCAGAGAAGACGAGGGAACAGACAATCCATGACAGATTATTTGTGCTGCTTGGGTACTGTGACGATAAACATGGTACATGCGGAAGAACTTGTATTACACTAAAATAAAAAGTGGAAGTCAAGATTGTCCAATATGTTTCTTTATTCCCAGAATTAGAAGTCACTGTGTTTCTTTTGTACATTGAAGTATGCTTTTATAGCTGAAGACAAGTCTTTAGAGGCTCCTAAATCAGTTGCAGACTTTCTCAGAGTGAGTCCAAATACAGTTTGAAGACTTCCATTGAATATGAGTGGACATGTTCCTAGAAAGGCACAGCTCTTCTAAACTGAAGGCAGAGTATTCTGTAAGCTTATTTTGGGAAAGGTGCTCATATATTTACTATTGAGAGTTATTTTTATTTGTAGCTTATGTGGAAAAAAAATGTCCACGGGGAGTGTGCATGCTATTTTTAAGCTCTCTCGTTCTTCAGCTTGTTTTTAATTTATCCTGAAGCTTGAACACAGAGTGCACGTGCTGGGGGACATGGCGGGTTTGGAGCCAGCCTGGCTGAGGGTCCCTGCGGGAGCCAACGAGCAGGTTCCCGCCGGCTCCCCAAGGGGCCTCCCGGGGCTCCTCCCTGAGAGCACCGAGCGCCGCCCGCGCCTTTGGGATGGGGATTTCTGCTGAAGGAGCTTTGAGACACTTGCGGTACAGGACGGATTTTATTAAGGTGATTTTAGACCTCTATCCTGGCCTGGCTTGCAGGAACTGGAAAGAGTAAGAAGACGGCAGTTACAGGAGTTTCATAACCCCTTTTTATGTGTTTCCAAAACCAGGTAATTTGTAGCATTGAGCATTTCCGTTTCAGCTAGAATTAAGATATTAGAAATTGAGGGAAGCTCAAATCAGTGCTGAGTGCAGCTGGTGGAAAGATTCCTGTTGATTTCAAGTTGTTTTAGAGCAGCGTGTCTCAAAAACGTTTACCCTTTGGATTCTTCTTGGTGCCAGATAGACTCTCCTTAAGATTCATTTGAAATGACCCTTGTAAGTCATGTGTTTTAGCTCTCCAGTTCTGGCAATATCCTAGGAATAAATAGTCCAAACCGATAGAGGCAAACCAGTTGTTTTTAAACTATTAAATAAGTGCTTGGAGATCCAGAATTACCTAATGTACTAAAGATATGTTTTGTGTTTGTTTTTAAATCCAGCAAATTGCACCACCTTTCCCCCAAGTCCCCTGTAGTAGTTGGGTAACCACAGACAAATACTTTCCACAGCTGCATTTTTTTCAGGTTATCTAAATCAAGGCATTGAGACTTCTCAATTCTAAGTAGAAACAAATCATTGCCTGAAGTAAGGCCCTTCTCTATTTATTCTATTTGGTCGTATTTTCATACCTCATTCTCAACTTCTTATGAAAATCACAATTCTTTTCGTCTTTACGGGTGGATTCTGTAAAGTGGAAGTATTTCTGAGCCGTGCAGAGCACTCTCAAGCTGCACAGAGGCATAGAGCGCTCTTCAGTATCAAGTCATCAAGCACTGCATTAGAAGGTTAAAATGTCAGTGGGTGCAGGGAAACTTACTGAGTCTGTCTCCGTTTTCGTTTCACCATTTTGCTTGGGCTGTGCAGAAGCAGCAAAAAGGTTACTCCAAAACAAGGGAGACAGATACAAGGCAGCCAGGGCGGGATTAATTGCTTTGTATTTTTAACATGGACTTGTCTTTGATTTTTGTGAGGACGTGTTTCCATGTGTATCCGCCACAGACGCGTGGGATCGGGAACGCTGGCTCCGGTGTGGGACCTTCTGGCATACGGGCTTGAAAGCCAAAATTTCCCTAGAAATACCGTGTAGCCTGTCAGGAGCTTTGTACCCTGTGTGCTATGGAGACCCTGCTCCAGGCGAATAGCAAGCAATGCCTTTGCAATTTTGATTACACATTACTCTTTCACGTTAATATCTGTGTCTTTGTTTTTGTTATAGCGAAAGGCGAGAGGAGTGTAGAGATTTTCTGACAGAAAACACAACTGTTATTAATTTAAAATCTTCTAGGTGGACCTCACAGTGGTGTAGGACTGGCTCTTATTTCTGCCAAAAAGCAACAGCAGTAAATTTTGAACGTCTTGGACTGTTATTAGAACACAAAATATTATTTTTTTACAATTATTTTCCATACATACTGTGGTTTTGATGACACTTGCATAGTAAGGATGATGACAGCGCGAAAGATTATTCAGGGGTCTAATGATTACGATGCCATCCATGTGTAGGAAAAAGCATTTAAGGTATTTTTAATATTTTTTTGAAAAAGTCATAAATTGCTTTTGCTTAAGTAAGACAGAATTATATTCTTACACTCCAAAGGAGGCACAAAAGAGAGTCTCTGTTCTAACAGGAAAATGCCAAAAGTAGATCAGACATGGAGAAGCTCCATTAACATATTTGTAAAGGAAAAGGACTCTCTCTTGGATTTTGTGGCTCATGTATGCCACGATGTAATGTGTTTTACAGTCCTTCCATTGTCCGTTACTGCAAACACGTCCAGATGAATTCAGCGTTTAATGTTAAAAATCTTATAACATGCCAGTTTGATTTGTAGCCCTTCATATCATGGAATGCTAATTAAAATCATATTTTTGCATATGTCATGCCTTTCATGTACATATGCAAATAGATTCTATTGCCTTTCAGCTATTAGTAATTAACTTTATGAAGGACAGCTGTAATACATAATTAACAAAAATGTTTGCAAGCCCTTTTCACACTGAAAGTTACAGCAGTAAAATTTTTGCTTATCGAGAGAACCATTTTAGTTTGCAGTGTCAGTCTGATATCTAAATTGTTTGAAGCAGTCACATGATATAATTAAAATGATTTTATGGTCTTATCAGCAGAAGAATGGTACTTGATAGGCTGCTATCTGTTTCACCACATATTTCACCAAAAATAATTAACTATGTTTTGTTTGGTAGAGACATAAAGCTAGGTAATATGTATTTTGTTGTTGCTGTTGATATCTCAAAGAATGTCTTGTCTGTTTCAATGATATTCCTGCTCAAAATGTCATCACAAACATGTGTTTCACCTTTTCAGGTCCCTTTTCACATAAACAAATCCTAAAGTAACTAAGGCTCCTAATTTCTCTTCATGTATGTCTCTTAAAATAATTAATGCACTGAAGCCTGACCAGACACGAGCACTTATTTAAGCTTACTGTACTTATGTAACATTCTCATTGAAAACATGGAACTACTTCTAAGATGAAGGGTTGCAGAATGGGCCCACTAAATTTAAATTCAAAGGCATAACTAAAACTACTAGTTTCTAACATGAGAAAATGTTATCTAGCCAAAATATATGGTAATTTTCAATATATTAAATATATTTATAAAATATGTTGAAAATTATTTATTAACTTAATTTTAAATATATTATTTAAAATATGTATTAATAAAATAATCATCTTGTTTTGTTTGATTGTTTGGTAGGGTGGCCTTTGTGATGAAGAAACATCTGAATACTCATCTACTGGGCAAGCATAGAGTTGGCACACCGAAAGAAAGGTAAATAAAGTCTTCTTATTTTGCCTCAGCTCATACACACAGAACTTAGCTGGAATATTTAGCATGCTCAGAGTGAAGTCACCTGGAGTTTTAGCTCAACTCTAACTACAGAAGGAACTAGCTAACTTAA